TTTAATGAGAAAAGTAATCTGAGAATGACATTCTGTTTTCTACATGAGTACATTGTTAAAGTCGTTAAGTTATTTAAAGATATTTGTTAAATATTGTTTACGTTGTTAAATTTTTCTTATTTAAGTCAATTAGGGCTTGAATTTTTCTTAATCATGAAAAATTTTAATTCTGACTAAGAAAGATGCTCGCAAATGGCTGGTATCATGCGTGTTGAGAAAATGCTCTACGTCACACAGACTTTGCCAAGCGACGACCAAAGTCAATCTCTGAAGAAGATTCTAACCTTGGAATAGTTGACGCCGTACTTTATGATCCGAAAAAATTGTTGCTTCTACTTTATAAGAGGATAATAATTCGCTTGTATGTTGTTTTGTAAAATAAAGTTTTATCGCTACATTTATGTCTACCGCTGAAATGCATAGATTTTAATAAAGCGGTCAGACATTAATGCCATTCTTGTTCACGTACCTTTTTCAAGTATACGACCTGCTATTAGCAGCACGGATCTCTCATCACCCGAAGACTGCACAATCCGACGTTTCGATTTTTCTAATAGATTTCTAGTTACGTAGATTCTCGTAAACAATAAGAATCACACGTAGCGATTTTATATTCCAACTTTAGACAGCAAAATTTTTCGTAAAATAACACACGTGCTTCTGCGTCACCGTAGCCCACGCGACGGAAGCGTTGCTGAATATAGGTTCGTCAGGAAGATGCCCCGCAATTTTCAAAGGTATTTTCTTTATTATTTCTTTTTTTCTTCATTATTTCTTTTTTTCTTCATTATTTCTTTTGCAATTATTTTTTCTATTAATTATTCTTCCCATTAATAACAAAGCATGAATATTATCCCGGGAAACTTTCCAATTGCTCCTACATTGAAGACTCCGACTTTCCCTCGAATCTTTTCGCCATTCGTCTCTCAAACGCGGTGAGTTGTTACATCTTATTAATCGACCGACTTTGAAGTTTCAGGTTTTTACGCGACGACTCCGCAGCTGGATCTGAACTTCGTGTTGCAATCCTGCAAGGGCTTCGAGACCGATAGCAGCAATAGGGATTTTGGCCAGGACTGCTCGTCCATGTCGAGGTCGATGACGAATTACTTCTCTCATGGTCGCGTGAGAAATACCTATCATTCGAAGGTCACGTTCAGCGACAACAAACCTTTCGGTTGTCCCAAGTGCGGCCGCTGCTTCACTGTCAAGGGCAATATGACCAGGCATTACAAGTACGAGTGCGGTCAGGCGCCGCGCTTCCAGTGCCCCTATTGCGAGTTCCGCAGCAAGCAGACGTCCAACGTGATGTCTCACATTAGGACCAGGCATCCCGGTCAGAAGGTCTACGTAGTGCACCTCAAATACGAGGACAAATAAAGGAAAAGGACGACCGTAGACATTGCAATCTCGCGTGACGACAGTGATTTTTTTCGATTTGAAACGAGCAGGGAACCGCACTCGTGTGAAGAGAACGAGAATCGTTTGGGAAATTTAACAAATTTTTACAGGTCTTATATGATCATTACATTTCTCGCGCAATATCAAGCAATTCAAGCATCTAGTACGATCATGTGTCCAATCCGATGTATATGTAACATTCGTTGATACATCGGATTGGACACACGTTGAAATAGACCGGACATGTGAATTATTTATTGCTCAGATTCTACGCGACAAGATGTCTCATGAACGTCCTTAGCTATTAAGAGTTTCACGAGCGTGGTGCGGTTCCTACGTCATTGATCGGATGATATTTAATCTGGATATCGCGTAAATACCAATTACAATACCTGATGCAATAATCGAGGGCAGGAGCGCGGATGTTGGTTAACAATTGTTTAGTCGTGATGAGACACGACTTCGTCGTGGGGTCTGCTGTTGATGAAGCGCGAAATGACAGCGAACCGTGTAAAATTTGTAGCGGCTGAAATAGTGGGACTCAGTATTATCGTCAGATATTCTCTCCGTCTTTACACATTACGAAATATCTCCATGCTTAGCAGTTAATGAATCGGCGCGCGGAACTTCTCGATGTGCTACGTGAAATTATGACGTTTCTGAAACGCTATCAGCTCAGCCTCGGCGATGTGAGTCATGTGAGGCTTTCAAAGTACGCGAGAAAAAGATCTTCAGCGCAAGCACATTCCGAGTTTCGGCATTCGCGCGCTATCCAATAAGCAATCTTTCGATTATTAGGGGCTTTAAAAGAGTCGTATGTTTTTTAAAATGTAGATGTACTACTATAAAGATTCAGGTTGTGAGATTGATGATGGGACACGAGGAAACATTTGCAGCATGCGTCTAAATGTACTAGGTATGATCAGATTAGGTATGAGCGCCGAGTCGCGACTGGTTCGTATTATTAGCGAAGAATTTGTTCGATTTTACAATTGACAAATCGGAATTGTTATAGACGACGAGCGACGTGCCAAACGTGATCACGAGTGCTCGTCATGAAGACTGAATTGTTACTAACGGGAGAAGAAAGTCTGAGAGAACAGGGTTTTAAGCGGTCGGAACAAACGTAGTTACCTTCTGTTTCACCACGATATAGAATCACGCGCTGCCGTGACTTTGTTCTTACATGAAGACGCATTTGTTCTAACATGAAGATGCATCGTATACAAGGAACACTAATAGCAATTGATAATATAGAATATATTTCACTATCAACGTCGCAAAAGTAGATGGAAGTATTGCTCTTCATGTATCGCGGAAACACCAGTTTGTCACACGTTCGGTTCTTTCGCGATTTGATTATCGCGGCACGTGCCTGCTTTCGTTTTTTGCAATCGTATCGCATCCGCGCGGATGGAAGGGTCTCTTAAAGACATGAAACACGTTAGTGACCGACTGTTTTTGTTGCTGTGATATAATTATTCGTGTAGTGATATAAGTGTATTTGACTAACATACGCGACGACGCTACGTTAATCACGTTATCCGCTGTCGCGTGTAGAAACGAGTGTTCGTTCCGTTATCATACGTAAGATAAGGTGGTACAATTTCAGACATGGTACACACAATTTTGAATGAAATAAAATTTTAATCTAATTTTTGAAGCTCAAGTTTGATTTTTTTCCCTGTTTGGTACTCTTCAATACCCTCCAATGAGATCAGAGTTATTAAACTGGAACCTCGAAAATTGAATTATTTTACAATATTAAAGTATCGTGTTAGACCGCAATATGAATACATAACGATTAAGAAGCAATAGCTAAGTGGACAAGCTTGGCTTTCTAAATTAATTACAGATTTTAAGTTGTTTAATAATAAATATTATTATAAAGATTTCTGTGGGGATTAATATATTATTAAATTGCTTGTCAATTTAATTTGTTATACTACTACTCTATTTCTGTTAGACTTGCATTTCGAGTCTGAAAATAAATTCGGCACGCAGTTTGAAGGATTAGATTTGTGGTATATAAATTCACACGGAGTTATTTTAGCACTAAAAATCCAAACTCGACCGTTTAGCCTTTGTTTCTTAATTGTTGCGGATTATTTTATTTTGTTCAAAATTGTATCATGTTCGAAATTGAACCATTTTATCTTATTTTTCATTTAATTTGTGATAATACTTATTCCAGCTTCGGTTTATGATTGCGTTTTCAAGTCCAATAGTAATTGGCGTATAGTTTTTATAGATCTTGAAAATGTATTTAAAATTTATGTAGAAATATTATTAGACATCAAGATCCAGCCTCGTTTGGCGTTTTTCTGTTTACTTGTGTTATTCACTTAGCAGATTAGTTTAACTTGTTACTGTTTATATATTTCATTTTCGTTTTTATCTTCATATATTCCGTCTTCGGATTAAGTACTTTAGGATGTCGAGCAAGTTTTCGCGAACAAGGGATCTCGTCCGCACGGGGTATTTTGATGGACGCAAAATAATCCTCGGGTTGTAAGCCCCGTGTTCGAGCTTCTTACGACGTACGTCAAGATACCCTAGGATTCCTGGTCGATTAGAAACGCAACATGTTTTTACCGTCGGTATATCAATAGCGATTTTCCCGCAGTACGTTTTATGATCGTATATCGTCACTGTGGAAATGTAATATAAAAATAAATTGATGTTCGGACACCCTACTTGCCAAATGTGCTTCAGTATTTTCTCCCCTGATGTCCCGAACCCCTTCAGACTCCCCTTTACGAATCGGGCATGTTACTTCAGTTAAATCGTTCCGGGACATAGGACCTCATCCGACGAACCTGTTATAGCTGCACGGTAGACGATCTACACGCGTGTGGTGTTTGTTTGCGGCCGAAACTAACGATGCCTATCCCTACCTTTCGTGACTGCGAGGGACATACTTGACATCAAGTTTTCTACCAACGTACCCGATTATTCTACCCACGTGCCACGAGACTAATATCATTGGGCAATAATTTACGTAACTTTTTATCTGTATTTATGTGCTTTGCGTCAATGATCCTTGCACTTTAATATCTAACGAGCCATTCTTCACCAGGGCCAATGACAAGTATTTCCAACTTGACTTTCTCATCAATCACGGATAGGCTGTCTTATTTACCTATCTTTCAGTTTTTCAAAGGAAAAGATTATTGTTCGTTTAATGATAAACATGTAGATAAAACTTGTCGATGTGCCCGATGTCAGAAGCTACCACACATAGCAATCCGGGCCAGTCTCACAGTTCGGTTTTTGCTTTCAGATCTTCTCATGATGGACTGCTTCATGAACTTCGTAGATCCCGAGGAACGTTTGCCTTCTCAGTCACAGAAGACTCTCTACTATTGTCCTAAGTGCCTGCACGGTTTCACCCTGAAGAGTAATCGCAATCGTCACTTCAGATACGAATGCGGCCATGAGCCCAGGTTCAAGTGTCCTTACTGCGAGTTGCGCAGCAAGCAGACATCGCAGATCTATAGTCACATCAGAAAAAAGCATCCTTCCGAAAGAGTCTGGGTCGTCGATCTTAAATCCTAACGAAACGTGCGAACATCGCGTGGATCCTCCATTTTGACCATGAGAGCAGTGTTGTGTATTATAATGATTTCAAACATAATAAATGTTACCTACACATTACTTTTCCTGTCTTGACGATTCTGATGATGCTCTTATCTTTCACTCGCTAATTGCGTGCTCATCTTTTCAAAGTTTCATTTTCAGAGACAGATTGCCAACGTTACGAGAACGTCTGCTTATATTAACTACGTTGTCAGGTACGAATATATAATGTGTGAGATAATAGAAATTCCTAATAAAAATTTGCCCAACTCGAGCTTCTTTGAGAAACTCGATGTTTGTTTTTATAATATTTCGTATATAATTTATGTCAAATGCGTCACACGACATCGTAAAAGTTCGTGATGGTCTACATATCGACTAATGATGCTAGATTAAAACTGGGTGATATCGTTTATAATTTATGTATTATATTCACGCACGATATTATCTTTTGTTTCTACAAGCCGTCATTACATTACACACATATTTTAATGACATACGAGAGAGATGAAATCGTAAAATTCACTTTAATGCAAATATTGATGTTTCTTTTATATCAAAAAGCAATAAAAGGATTAAGGAGGTAAATAATAATAATAATATATTATTGAAAACAAATAGTTGATTGCTTAACGATTCTAAGAAGAAATAAAAATTTTCATTAAAATATGTATGTACTCCATTTTAGAACATTTTTTATCAGCTTTCAGTATAGTCTCAATTCGATCAGTTCAAACGCATTATAATATATATACATTGCACCAGACACTCGCTTCTTAATTAAAACGGACGTCGCACATATGTGCTCAATAACTATATAATTGATCTTTCCTTGAACTGTCGATAGTTCGTCAATTATTATCTGCGATTATTGGCCTCTTTCTAATCGTTCCATCGTTTGCTTTCAGTTCTTCTGTACGGAAGTTACGGGGTCGGTCTATATGACTCAACGAAGCCCGACCCAAGTCAGAGCATCAGGGTGTCGCCAATTCGACGACGAGGAAGCGGTCGCCGTAATCACGTGTGCCCGAAGTGCGGTAATGGTTACACCGTGATCAAGAGTCTCAGGCGACACTTGCGCTATGAATGTGGTCTGACCCCGAGGTTCAAGTGCCCTTACTGCGGCACTCGCAGCAAGCAACGCGGCCACGTGAGCCAGCATATACGCAGGAAGCACTCCGGTCAGCGCATCTATATCATCGACTCGCCCTGATGAGGCTTCATCCAGTATTCCCTCTAACGAAACGTTCCTCTTCCTTTGGCGACACACGTTAGCAAATACGATTGTCGATGTATAGTCTGACAATCTTGTTTTATTATTCTTGATTTTATCTCTTTCGACATGTTTGATCTATCGACACTCTTGTTGGTGAATCGATATTACGTGTAATTGTAATTGTCGTTTTGTTAACTGTGCTTAATGGAATAAAACATTTCCACGACATTCTACTGGTTTTTGAGAAAGTCGTTTCATTTCCATTCACTTTATACAACAAACGCTTGCATTGATAGCTCGTCGGAACAATCTGGACGCATTTCGTGGTTTGTTGACGAACAAGCTAAACAGGTAAACGGAGATCTTTGCGCGAGCTTGAACTCCTCGGGGTCAGGTGACGGGAATAATTCGCGATAACACTCGCAAGCGTCTCCATGATCTTCTCATTTTTTATCTCTTTCTCCTTCACGCTCGGAACCAGCGCATCTTAATTATCTAGCTAACTCCGCGTCCTGTCGATTTTTTTTTTAGACGCGAAGATGATCAAGCTGGAGACCATGTGTCTGCAGAGTATGTGCGAGGTGGTGATGGAGGAGTCCCAAAACTTTAGCTACGAAGAAGAGAAGCCACTCAATTCAACGAGGAGGCGCCGCGGTGGACACGTGCAGGACGACATCGAGAGGCACACGTGTTCGCGATGTTCGAAGAGCTATATACATGCGTGGCATCTGAAGAGACACACGAAATTCGAATGCGGCCAGGAGCCGAGAGTCCAGTGCCCTTACTGCTCCGCCAAGATGAAGCAACGCGGTCACGTTTACAGACACATCCGCCAATGTCACCGAGGAGAAAACGTTTTCGTGATCGATCTCAACTGAGAACTCACGAAGGCGAGAATGATGAATTTCAGTACGGCCATCCAGCAACAGAGTTTCTTCAATATTGGCGTTGATTCGTCAATCCTCATATTTACTGAGCAATAATTTTGCCAATTCGTGAAATCGTTTCGAAACATGCTTTATATTCTGACTCTTTAAAATGCTTTTTGTTACAAATTGTATAATATTTGTATTATTTATCTACTTTTAATGCATCTGTTGAAACGAAAGCTTTTTCGTAAGTTGCGTAATTTCGAATAGTTTGTATTGTAAAAAAATACGTATAGGGTAATGAAGAAATCTCACCCTTGGAACTCGTCAATAATATGAAACCAAATTCAAACTAGACATTTATATTTAGTTTTTTTATTCAATTTTTATCTCAACATTTTTCACTCGATTTTTATTTCTTGACTGGATTATTTGGGCTTAACATAATATTCGCCATTAGACGAATTAGTTATTTATTTAATTTATTATTTGACGATTACATCATATCATCTTGTTGGATATGAGTAAATCATATTGACCAAAATTATCATGTCAAAAAAGAAATATTTATTTAATAATTTGAGATATCGAAGTCTGCTTTGATTTGGCCTCTTGTTGTCACTTTTACAGTGTTTAGTTTATCACCGTTATATTTTATTATACTGATACGTTATTTTAAAATTTTAGTTGAGTACATGTTATATTAATTTAAACTGATGAAGACTCTGTGATAGTCAAAATGTACTGATATTAAACCTAAAAATACATTATATTTTTGAACATTTTACTTGCTCGATCATTGATTGTTTTTAATTATATTATTATTATTGTGCAATTGAATGTATCTGAAATAGGCAAATGGAGGATTCGTATCTGCCGCAATACAATTATTATAGTACGGATACTGATGTATCTAGTCATCATGATGATTAGAATTTAGATATGATAGAGGAAAAATGAACAATAGAAAAACGAAAAAAATTTATTTTAACTGTATTATCTCGTATCTTGTATCTTATCTCGTTATCTTAAAAAAAAAAGCGAATAAAATACGATATTTTTTTTACTTAATTGAAATAAAGTCATTTCCTTGGATTATTGCTCATTGTCGATATTATAAACAATCGAATAAAGCAAGTATTGTTATTTTTTTAAGAATGTTTGATCATTGTCGATCTAGATGCTCCTCGATATTTTTAATAACATTATTTGGATTGTTATTATGACTAATGTGTATTTTATTCTTTAGGTCTTTCAAACTTTTCCAATGTGAATAATTACATTTCGAATAGAGGTGAGAGGGTCGATAGAATTAGCAACCTGGTCTTTGCAACGGTACTTGGTCGTCCATTTAATGATACTACATAAAGCATTTTGGTAATTTGAGTGATTCCATTTTCACGTGATATGCGTTTATGGATTGTACACCAAAGAGGTTTTCATATTATCATGGCGCGATGAGTTTAATGTATATGATTTATAAGATTTACGGAAAATTTTCAATTTACATACCTACATACATACATACATATACACACACACATACAAAAGCCTAATAGAGGATAAAAGAAGATATATGATCTAGTATTTTTATTATATATTTTTTAATGCTCACGCATTTACTAAAATTATGAATTAATGATTAGTTTAAATAAATATTTATATAATTCAATCATGTTATCATCTTTTCCACCAAATATAGATTTATAGTTTTTTTCATGAGTAATTACAGAGAGAGAGGTTAATTAAGTATTCTGTTAATCAATTTTAATAAAAATTCGATGAAATTTGTAGTAATAAATTCTGTAAGATGGAACAAGCAAAAATATCTTAAAAATTAAAACAAATTGCTTTTATTATTGAAAATTTATAAATCTAAATTCATTGAAAATGAATAAATTTATATTGACAATTAGTTATTAAATTTATATGTTATAAATTTTTCTTTCTAAAATTTTCTCCAAAATATGTTTGAAATGATTGAATATTTTTAATTCTGATGCAGTTTCCAGAAAGATTGAACAAAATTTTTGATAAAATTGATTCAAAATGGAATATTTTAATGATTTAAGAATCTGGTTTTTCAGGCACCTGAAAATTGAAGACTGGGCTTTCCGCAAATTGGAGTTACATATTCAAATGTGAATGTTCAAAATTTAAGCAATCATTTTTATGATTTTGCCAGTTGAAAATTCTGTGGCACAATATTATATCCTGCCTACAAAAGATTACCTCGTCTATGATTTGTCTCAGATTTAATCGCAGATTTAATTTAAAATTTATGATTTCTTTGTAGATTCAAATAACAGCGCAAGTAATAAAATGAGAAACATTTTTTTTCTCTTTCTCTCTCTACTTTAATTATTACTTAATATTTTCATAAACGCAGCCACTGCATCTTTTTCTATCACTAACGATCCCTTTTTTCTTCTTCCTCTCGCTTGCAGAGCCATCAATACCGCGCATGATTCTGCCCAGGAACATGCAGCAACGGATCTATTTGCCGATGATGTCAATTAAGGATCTAACACTCTGGATGGGCAAGCAGAGAGGGGATATTACATTCCCTTATCGTTGTGAGAGATGTGGGAAAGGTTACCAGCATCGCGGCACCTTACTAAGACACACGCGACATGAGTGTGGCAAGGAACCGCAATTCAAGTGTCCGTATTGCCCCCATAGGACGAAACAACGCGGAAATCTATATCAGCATATCCGCACCAATCATCCTGGGAAGAGTGTTTTCTCCAGCAGTATCTAGTGCTCGTAAATGTCGCGTGTTCACGTTACTACTTCCGCAGTCTTCCTGACTGATTTCTATTTTTTACCTGGCAACACTTGTATACGCGCAAATTAACGTAACTGGAGAAGGCAGTTGCAGTTACCATTGAGATTTAATTATATTGCGGATATTGCGTAAATTAACTTGTAATATGTAATGCCTCTGTCAATTGCGATTACATAACTGCTTTTTAAATTAACGTACCCGCTAATTAGTAATAAGAATGTTCGATCTCTGGGTCGACTAGTTAAAATAATTTTTGCAAAAAGATTTAAAGATTTTTGCAAAAAAATTTAAAAATAGTCCCTTTTTCTTAGAAAAATCGATTTTCACGTCAAAGATTGATTTGAAAATAGTCCTTTTCGCTTAGAAAATCATCTTTTTTTTTTAAGAGAATCGAAACATTTCTAAATACTAATTATTTTTGCGTTGGTGAAATTTTTTTTGATTTTTTAATTATCTATGTATTAATATTTATATTAATAATCATAAGCGTAAAATCATGCATCCAAGATGTATTAATAGTGTGATATCTCTCTCTGCTCCCTCTCCCCCCTCTTTCTCTCTCTAAAAAAGATGATTTTATACGTATATTAAAGTCACATATTTCGAAACAAAATTTTATCCCGAATTTGAGACTTCAATTTGTTTGCGTTGCTTACTATTAACAAAAATTTTTACTTAAAATAAGACAAATATATGTTTGGGCCTTGAAAAGAGAGAAGAAACGAAGACGCTAAATATAAAAAATGCAAGCAACGCGACCTGATGTCAGTGAAATCCATCTCGTCTTTATCTTCCTTTCTTTGTTATACATTATACTTAATGTTATTATTCCTGAATTTGTAAACTTGCCAAATTTTAAAATAAATGAATTGGATAATTTTTTTCACGTACTTATATGAATAATCCTGCCTGATTCCAATCACCGTATTAGAGGGACGTGCCTAGTGAGTATACAATACGTGTGTAGCACGTAAGCGGCTAAAATCAGAGACGATCGAAGACAAGATTCATTGAATCATGTAGGACATACAAATGCGATAAAACTACAACTTGTTGGATGTTGACAGGATCTTCATTAAGACTGTCTTCCTTTATATCTATTAACATATCTTGTATGATTTCTTGTATGTTTTTTTTTTTAAGATTTGAAGATTTCTAAGATTTCTAAATACAAATATATGTATACTTTTCGGGCAGCGAAATAATTTTTGCACGCGGCCGGCCATCTTTTTTTTATTTTCGATTGTAACATGAAGTGATACTTGTTTATTTATAAAAACATACTTTACAGCGCTTGTTAAAAACTATTATCAACTTTTTATTAATAATGTTTTTTACAAGACGGATGTGCTTTTAGTGTTAATTAAGATTAATGTAAAAATGTTACATATTAAATTTATCTTCTTGCGTCAATTATTATTTGTAGGTCTGTTTCTTATAGATATAAATGCATATAAGTTTGATAAAAAAATTAATTATAAGATACTAGATTCAATATAGATAAAGGTGCTGCAGTATCCTGTGTGCTCATCTTTATGACTAATTTTTTGAAAGTCGAGTTGGACTCATCCTGCCATTAAAATTTATTCACCTCGAAATTTCCGTGATCACTTACTAACCGCAGCATTTTATCTTCTTTCAGGGATGATAGTATGGCAAGGTATCCCTCAGCATCACCAGGATCAGATGATTAGTCAAGGCAAAATTCCGTACAATTTTTATTGCGCGGAATTTGACCCGAAGACTTCCGAGTTAAAATTTCCCAGTTATCTCGACAAGAAACCGGGTTTATTCGAGTGTCCAAACTGTGGCAAGTATTATCGCTGGCTGAGAAACATGAGGAGTCATCTGAAGATCGAATGTGGC